CACTCCAGCCTGGGTGACAGAGTGAGACTCCATCTCAAAAAAAAAAAAAAAAAAAAAAAAAAAGAAAAAGGAAAAGAAAAAATTAAGAACCTAAGAGAGAAGGCAAAGGGAGAGTCCAAAGGGGAGATTAAGAGACTGAAACAGAAACAAAACTTCATTCTGAGAGAGATAGCAGTTGAGATAAGAAAGAGTAAAACCAGGGAAAGGTTTGAGGGAAGCTAAGAGAAAGATGGAGAGACCAAATGCGAGGGACTGAGTTTGCATGTTTGTTCATTCACCTAGTGTCTGTAGAGCGCCTAATGTGTGTCACACACTTTAGTCTAAGCTGGAGACAAGCAGTAAACACAATTTCTATTCTGTAGGAAGAGACAGAGAAGAAACCAGCAAACAAGTAGAATGGTGATAAATGTTACGGAGAAAAAGAAAGCCAGGCAGTGAGATGTTGAGGAGATAGGAGATTTAAAATCAGGGAGTTGGGAGAGGCCTTGCTGGAAAGGTGATATTGAGCAAAGTCTGAGGGAGGAAACAGAGGAAGCCATGCAGTACTTGGGTTGGAGAGTGTTCCAGGCAGAGGGGACCTTAATTGAAAAGTCCCTGATGCGAGTGATCAACGGGGAAAGGGGTGATAAATGGGTCAGAGTGATTAATGCGGTCATAGCAGATAGGGCTTTGTGGGCCACAGTTAGCACTTTGGTTTTTATTCTAGATGAAATTTCTTTTCTTTCTTTCTTTTTTTTTTTTTAATATTTATTGATTTTTTTTTTGAGACGGAGTTTTGCTCTTGTTGCCCATGCTGGAGTGCAATGGCATGATCTTGGCTCACTGCAACCTCTGCGAGACGGAGTTTCACTCTTGTCACCCAGGCTGGAGTGCAAGGGTGCGATCTCTGTTCACTGCAACCTCTGCCTCCCGGGTTCAAGCGATTCTCCTGCCTCAGCCTCCCAAGTAGCTGGGATTACAGGCACCTGTCACCACACCCGGCTAAGTTTTGTATTTTTCTTTTCTTTTTTTTTTTTTTTTTGAGACGGAGTCTCGCTCTGTCGCCCAGGCTGGAGTGCAGTGACGCGATCTCGGCTCACTGCAAGTTCCGCCTCCCGGGTTTATGCCATTCTCCTGCCTCAGCCTCCCGAGTAGCTGGGACTGCAGGCACCCGCCACTACACCCGGTTAGTTTTTTGTATTTTTTAGTAGAGAAGGGGTTTCACTGTGTTAGCCAGGATGGTCTCGATCTCCTGACCTCGTGATCCACCCATCTCGGCCCCCCAAAGTGCTGGGATTACAGGCTTGAGCCACCGCGCCCGGCCAGTTTTGTACTTTTCAGAGACGAGGTTTCACCATGTTGGCCAGACTGGTCTCAAACTCCTGACCTCAAGTGTTCCACCCGCCTGGACCCCCCAAAATGCTGGGATTACAGGTGTGAGCCACCGCACCTGGCCCTTGCCAACTTTTTAATGGAGTTGTTTTCTGCTTGTTGAAATGTTTAGTTTCCTTATATAATCTGGATGGTAGATCTTTGTTGGATGCATAGTTTGTGAATATTTTCTTCCATTCTTCAGTTGTCTGTTTGTTGATAGTTGCTTTTGCTTTTGCTGTGAAGAAGCTCTTTAGTTTAATGAGGCCCCACTTAACAATTTTTGTTTTTGTTGCCTTTGAGGACTTAGTCACGAATGGTTTACCAAGGCTGATATCCAGAATGGTATTTCTCCTGGGGTTTCTTCTACAATTTTTATGGTTTGAAGTCTTACATTTAAGTCTTTAACCCATCTTGAGTTAATTTTTTTATATGGTGAAAGGCAGGGGTCCACTTTCATTCTCTTGCATATGTCTAGCCAGTTATCCCAGTGCCACTTAAATGAAATTTCAGCTGAGATTTGAAAGATACACATACAGGAACCAGGGCAGAATTGAGTTCTGGGCTGCAGGCTCTGGATTCAGTTCATTCATTTATTCAATCTCTCTCTGTCATTAATTCTCCAAGCATTTAGAGAGGCCTACTTTGCCCCAAGGCTTGTCCTGGGTGTACTAGAGAGACCAACTTGGAGAAGACCCTCCCCTCAGCTCTGGAGGAAGAAAACATTTCAGAGTGGGGTGAGGTCCTGCCCTCCTGCAGGTGGGATAATCCTGCCAGGGTGACCTTGGTCAGCCATAAACTTGGGGAATGAATGGGCAACAGGCTGGGGAGCGGCTGCCAGCAAGGAGGAAGGAGCTGGAGAGTGTGGAGGTGGGAGTTGGGGGAGAAAGGGGAGATCCCCCCTCAATTTTCTGTCTTTTCTGTGGTGAGAAAGGTCCTGTCTCCCCGCTGGCTCTGAGCTCTGGCTACAGGCTGGCTGGGGAGGGAACAGTGGATGGGCCAAGACAGGTGGCCCTGGCATGTGATGCGTGCACGGGGACTACTCAGCTCTCACTTTTAGAACGGTTTCCGGAAGTGATGGGAGGGATTGGGCAGGGCAGCTAAATATAGTCCTGGAGCCATGGCTCAGTCTGGGAGGGTCTTCCACTGAGCACTGTGTGCCCATCACGCGTGGTGTCCACTGCCAGCTTCCCCTGTGAGTCCCTGTCCTTGCTTGGAGCCTGCTGCTTGTCTCAGATCTTTGGACACAGCCCTGACCCCAGTCCAGCTCGGCTCGACCCTTACCGGTCCTCCTTCCAGTGTCTTTCAGCCTAAGATCTCCAACCAGACCTGTGAGTCCCGTGGGCTGGAAGGGGGGGAGGGGAGGGCTGGAGATCTTGGTAAAGTGGGGGAGGGGAGTCTCGAAGTGGGGGCTCTGGAGAATTTGGGGCCAGGGCTGAGGTCAGAGGCTGAAGCCTGGGGCTAAGGCGAGGGCAAGGACAGTGGGCTAGGACCTGGGCTTGTGTTCAGGAACTGGGGTTGACCGATAGAGCATATTTTTGGAGCTGGAGCTGAGAATTGCAGTGGAGGCTACTTTTGGGCCTGAGACCGAGTTCCTCTTCCCCTTTGGCCGTCAGAGCCCCATCCAGTGTAGGATGGGAGGTCTTTACAGGCTACGGCTTCTCCCTGCGGCGCGGCGGGCCCGGCCTGGGCCAGGGCTGGGCCGGGAGCACGGCGCCGTGGGTCCCCCTAACCGACTCCTCCTCCACCCAGGCCCGCCATGTCGGCTGCGCCGGGCCTCCTGCACCAGGAGCTGTCCTGCCCGCTGTGCCTGCAGCTGTTCGACGCGCCCGTGACAGCCGAGTGCGGCCACAGTTTCTGTCGCGCCTGCCTGGGCCGCGTGGCCGGGGAACCGGCGGCGGATGGCACCGTTCTCTGCCCCTGCTGTCAGGCCCCCACGCGGCCGCAGGCACTCAGCACCAACCTGCAGCTGGCGCGCCTGGTGGAGGGGCTGGCCCAGGTGCCGCAGGGCCACTGCGAGGAGCACCTGGACCCGCTGAGCATCTACTGTGAGCAGGACCGCGCGCTGGTGTGCGGAGTGTGCGCCTCACTCGGCTCGCACCGCGGTCATCGCCTGCTGCCCGCCGCCGAGGCCCACGCACGCCTCAAGGTGCGGGATCCGAACGCATCGGGGTCGGAGGGGTTGTTCGGCGGCGCGGGGGCTGGCCGCTGGGGAGGTCGCTGTACTGATTTGGATTCTGAGTCTCTAAAGAGGACCTGGAGTTGCCGGGGTCGGGGGCGGGGCGAAGCAGCCAGGAAAGAGTGTCTGAGGAGCTGAAGGCGGGGCTGACAGAGGAAAGCCGCGCAGGGACGGAGACTGGCGAGAAGGGGGCTGAGCAAACCTAGGTTCCCGGCCTTAGCCTCTAGAGGGACCTGGAGATGGGAGGGCGGAGCCCCAGGGCTGGTCTGATGGGCGGGCCGGAACCAGGCGGAGCAGCGACTGACCAGCCCCTACGGCCCACGCGCTCATTCTTTCACCAGGTGGGCCGGTCGGGCAGGCTCCCTGCGCGGCGCTGGCCCACTTTGGAATGGAGGCGCGGCGTTCCGGGCCGAGCCAGGCGGCCGGGCCAGGGCTGTCCTGTGGTGCTCAGCGGAGGCCCACGCACCCCTGAAACTTCGGAACTTTGGCTGGCCTCACGGTCCCCAGGCGGGGCCTCACCAAAAGGGAGACTGGAAGGGCCAGGCAACCGGGATCTGCACTTGCGTGCGCGGACCCAGGGTGGCACCGAGAGCCCCGTCCAGGATGTTTTTCTGGGTGGAGCTGGAAGTCCCGAACGCCTTGGGAGCCCACACGTGGTTGTGTGCGTCCCGAGGTACTCAGCAGACACCCAGACAGAGGCAAATAGAGACCCACGCACACTGGCTAGTGCGTGCTATACGTGTGGCAAAAGCACACGCGTGTAGCTACCGGCGGGCACGTGTGCGCGCAGCCCCAGGAAAGTCTGTCATGAATATTTATTGGGCAGTGGAAGAAGAAATGACAGGTGCAGGGGCTGGAGGAGGCGGGGTCTGGAGGCACGGAGGCGTCCTTGGTCCCCGAGGTGGAGACACTGCCGTCGTCTTACGCTGCTGGTGCGCGCGCGGGGCTGGCTTCACAGGCGTTGCACTACTCCTTCCCTTGGCCTGCCTCCTAGAGGGGGTAGACTACCGTCCTTTCGTTGGTATTCGAGGCCCCCGGGCTTCCCAAGGACCCAGCCTCTCAGTCCCGCCAGCTCCTGCCTGGCCCAGTTCAGCCCAGGCCTAGCTGGTGGTCTCCTAGCTCAGGGCAGGAGCCTCCTCCCGGGAGCCCTCCCATCCCAGCACACCTGTGCTTAAGAAAGAAAAGAAAGAAATTCAAGATGAAGCTGGGGACTGTGCGACTGCGCGAGGGCTTTGAGCGCATTCCAACCTCGCCCAACCTTGCCCGTCTTTATCTGCGAAGAGAGCACGGAACCCATGAAACGGAACAGGGCCCAGGCAGCCCAGGAGCCTGGAAGGGGGCAGTGGGGCGAGATGCAGCCCACCGGGGTTCGCTGCAGCCCAGCCCTTCGCCGCCGGGAGGGGCTGGCCGGAGGTCTGAGGGAAGACCCCAGGAGGGACCCTGAAGGAGGAGGGGAACAGGAAGGCTCTGGGCGGGACCCGACGCCTGGGTCCTTGGCGAGGAAGCGGGGTTGGGTCCCTAGATCACGTACCAGCTCAGAGTGGCCCTCGCGCGGCCCGCGGCAGCTGTGCCGCCTCCTCCAGCATGCCCATGTCGAGCAGCACGGCCACGACGAACTCGACTGCGTAGTCCTCGTAGTAGGAGGCGACCAGCTGGTCGGTGAGGTCCACGATGTCTAGCTGCCCGAGTGCGCCCCGCGGGATACGCTCAAAGCCCTCGCGCAGTGGCACAGTCCCCAGTTTCATCTTGAATTTTTCTTTCTTTTATTTTCTTTCTTTTTTCTTTTTTTTTTTTTTGAGACTGACTCTTGCTCTGTAGCCCAGGCTGGAGTGCAGTGGCGCGATCTCCGCTCACTGCAAGCTCTGCCGCCTCCGGTGTTCACGCCATTCTCCTGCCTCATCCTCCCGAGTAGCTGGGACTACAGGCGCCCGCCACCACGCCCGGCTAATTTTTTTTTGTATTTTTAGTAGAGAGGGGGTTTCACCGTGTTAGCTAGGATGGTCTGGATCTCCTGACCTCGTGATCCGCCCGCCTTCGCCTCGCCTCCCAAACTGCTGGAATTACAGGCATGAGCCACCCCGCCCGGCCCATCTTGAACTTCTTGAGCTCCTCCGGGGTCAGGTTCTCCAGCACCTTCAGGATGGCCTCTCGCTTCCTTCCTATGGCTGAGCCCTGAGCCTCTGAGCCTGGGAGGGCCTGGAGCCATCAGGTCCTACCTTTCCTGCAGCAGGTGGAGCCGCCGCCCCCGGGGAAGAACCGGGGAGGAGACTGATCTGGCAGCTCATATTCAACCCTGTGGCTCCTGCCAGAAGGGGACTCTGCAAACACCACCTAGAGGGTCCCCTAGTTTCCCCTGGGAAAGTGGGGGCACCAAATTGTGGAGGTGGGGATTGCTGTTCCCAATCTGCAGAGGAGGAAACAGGTTGGAAGTCATGGAGGCAGGAGTGGAACTCATTCCATGGCCAGGCACCTTCCAGCAAAGAAGTGGCTTTGTAGCCTGGCATGGTTGCTCATGCTTGTAGTGCCAACTATTCAGGAGGCTGAAGCAAAAGGATTGCTTGAGCCTAGGAGTTCGAGGATGCAGAGCTGTGATTGTGCCACTGCACTCCAGCCTAGGCAATCCTGTCTCAAAAAAAAAAAAAAAAAAAAAAAATTTTCTTTGGCAGGAGTATTGGGAGCTCTCCTATATTTGCATATTTGTATTTGAGGTCTTGGGTGAGATCTAGACCACGGAGTGTTTGGTTCGTCTATGCAGGGGATTTTTTTTTTTTTTTTTAAACGGAGTCTTGCTCTGTCTCCCAGGCTGGAGTGCAGTGGCACATTCTTGGCTCACTGCAACCTCTGCCTCCCTAGTTCAAACCATTCTCCTGCCTCAGCCTTCCGAGTAGCTGGGATTACAGGCACCTGCCACTGCGCCCGGCTAATTTTTGTATTTTTAGTAGAGATGGGGTTTCACCATCTTGGCCTGGCTGACCTCGAACTCATGACCTTGTGATCCACCCACCTCGGCCTCCCAAAGTGCCGGGATTACAGGCGTGAGCCACCACACCCGGCCAGCAGGGGACATTTTAATTAAATTCCGTGCCCCCCACTCCAAGCCCGTGCATGTACAGGCTGGCTGACGTGGGGGTTAGGCTGACAGTCTGACTGAGGCTGATGTTCTGCTTTTAGGTAAGAGAGGAAGCCCAGGCGTAGGGGGAGTTTGCCTTTCTTCTTTCATATATCCTTCACGTACCCCCTGAGGTCTGTTGTGTGCCAAGCTCTGTGCCTGCCTGTCTGGTGGGAGAGACCAAACCACTTTGGCGTTTGCCATCCTCACAAAGACCTGTGCTATGGGGCCGACTGCTGAGCAGAGGGGATCAGGGAAGGCAAGGCCAGGGAGGGGTCAACAAAACAGACAAGGGGCTGGGGGTGTGGTGGTTCACACCTGTAATCCCAGCATGCTGGGAGGCTGAGGTGGGAGGATTGCTTGAGGCCAGGAGTTGGAGACTAGCCTGGGCAATATAGTGAGATTGTCTCTACAAAAACATTTTAAAAAATCATGGCCAGGCGTGGTGGCTCATGTCTATAATTCCAGCACTTTGGGAGGCTGAGGTGGGTGGATCACCTGAGGTCAGAAGTTTGAGAGCAGCCTGGCCAACATGGTGAATTCCTGTCTCTATTAAAGATATCACAATTAAGCCAGGCCTGGTGGTGCACCAAAATTAGTACCAGCTACTTGGGAGGCTGAGGTAGGAGAATCACTTGAACCCAGGAGGCAGAGGTTGCAGTGAGCCGAGATTGTGCCACTGCATTGCAGCCTGGGCGACAGAGTGAGACCCCATCTCAAAAAAAAAAAAAAAATCAAAAAATTTGCTGGGCATGGTGGTGTGTGCCTATAGTTCCAGCTACTTGGGACTTGGGAGACTGAGGTGAGAGGGTCAATTAAGCCTGGGAGGTTGGGGCTGTAGTTAGCTGTGATCATGACACTGCACTCCAGGGTCACTCCAGAGCGAGACCCTGTCTCAAAACAAAACATCAAAATAAATAAATAAAAAAACCGCACCAAAATAGGCAAGGGGCAGGGGAAGCATTCGGACCTCAGGAGTAGCAACGGCTGGGGCTGGTAGGCATGTAAGTGGGTTTGGGGATGGGAAGATGGCTGGAGGAGGAAGTGGCATTGAGGTTGAGCCACAGAGGGCAGGTTTAGGTTGGGAGGTGTGGGTTTGGGGTGAGTGGCATCCACATCACTTCTCCATGCCTCGTCCCCCAGACGCAGCTGCCACAGCAGAAACTGCAGCTGCAGGAGGCATGCATGCGCAAGGAGAAGAGTGTAGCTGTGCTGGAGCATCAGTTGGTGGAAGTGGAGGTGAGGACTTCAAAGGGCCATGTCTCGGGGGCTGGGGGCCCGGCTAGGGGTCTCCAGCCAAGAGCCTTTATTCCGTCAATCACTGCCCCATACCCGCAGGAGACAGTGCGTCAGTTCCGGGGGGCCGTGGGGGAGCAGCTGGGCAAGATGCGGGTGTTCCTGGCTGCACTGGAGGGCTCCTTGGACCGTGAGGCAGAGCGTGTGCGGGGTGAGGCAGGGGTCGCCTTGCGCCGGGAGCTGGGGAGCCTGAACTCTTACCTGGAGCAGCTGCGGCAGATGGAGAAGGTGCTGGAGGAGGTGGCCGACAAGCCGCAGACTGAGTTCCTAATGGTGAGCACTGGGTGACCCCCCCGTCCCCTCCCTGCCTCAGCCCCCTCACTGCTCAGGCCCCAGAGACCTCATCCCATTGTCAGATAGGCCCAGAGAGGGGCAGGGATGAGCCAGCGTCACATGTCCGGGAGGGGCAGGCCTCAGGGCTGCTGTATGGTTGTTTAGGCTGAGCACTGCATAAGGACATTGTATTAAGTAAGCACTATTCATATCACAGACCTTGTCGGTTTATATATTTATTAGGACACTTTTTTTTTTTTTTTTTTTTAAGGCAGGGTCTCACTCTGTCATCCAGACTGGAGTGCAGTGGCATGACCATAGCTCACTGAAGCCTTGACTTTGTAGGCTCAGGCAGTCCTCCAATCTCAGCCTCCCATAGCTGGGACTATAGGCACTTACCACCATGCCTGGCTAATATTTGTATTTTTAGTAGAGATAGGGTCTCACTATGTTGCCCAGACTGGTCTCAAATGCCTGGACTCAAGCAATCTGCCTGCCTTGGCCTCCAAAAGTGCTGGGATTACAGGTGTGAGCCACTGCACCCGGCCTATTAGGACAGTTTTCTATCAGGTGGAATCAGAGTTGCTTGGAGGCGAAGATACCTTTTTGTAATCCACATAAAAGTGAAGGGTTAGGGGTGGCCTTGAGTTCTAGGTCTCTTTTGGCTTTTTTGTTTTTTTTTTTTGAGACAGGACTTTGCTCTGTTGCCCAGGCTGGAGTGCAGTGGTGTGATCTCGGCTCACTGCAACCTCCTCTTCCCAGGTTCAAGTGATTTTCCTGGTTCAGCCTCCCAAGTAGCTGGGATTACAGGTGCCTGCCACCACGCCCAGCTAAGTTTTTTTGTAATTTTGGTAGAGATGAGTTTCACCATGTTGGCCAGGCTGGTCTCGAACTCCTGGCCTCAAGCAATCCATCTGCCTTGGCCTCCCAAAATGTTGAGATTGCAGGCATGAGCCACCTCATCTGGCCTCTTTGAGCTTTTCTGATTCTTCCTGACCTTGCACTTAGCATTCCTAGTTGTCTACCCCATCCTCAAAAGTCTCCAGTGTCCCCAACATCGGCTTCACCACCATTCTCTTTTTCTCTCTCTCCAGAAATACTGCCTGGTGACCAGCAGGTGAGAGCAACCTGGCCCTGCCCCTTTGCCCGACTTGTCCCAGTCTTCTAGGGACACCAGCCGGCTCACTCTCCACTCACTACTGTGCCTGCACACCTGCAATTCAGTCTGCTGCCCCACCCCTGCCTGAACACATGGTTATAGACAGAAATGATCTGGACGGATCCTTTTGCTCAGGGACCTCCTAGACTGGTGCCATGAGACACATGTGGGTGGGGACAAAGGCATCACTGTGTGCTCAGTGGGGCTGTGGAGGGAAAGGGGTGGCCAGGCATGGAGTGAATGTTTGAGATGGGCCCTGGAGGGATGAACAGGAGTTGGCTAGGCAAAGTGCTGGGAGAAGAAGGGCATTGCGAGGAGAAGGGCATTGCGGGGAGAAGGGCATTGCTGGGAGAAGAAGGGCATTGCTGGGAGAAGGACATTGCTGGAAGAAGAAGGGCATTGTGAGGAGAAGGGCATTGCTGGGAGAAGGGCATTGCTGGGAAGAGGGCATTATGGGGAGAAGGGCATTGCTGGGAGAAGGGCTTTGCTGGGAGAAGGGCATTACTGGGAGAAGAAGGGCATTGCTGGGAGAAGGACATTGTGGGGAGAATGGTATTGCTGGAAGAAGAAGGGCATTGCAGGGAGAAGGGCATTGTGGGGAGAAGGGCAATGTGGGGAGAAGGGCATTGCGGGGAGAAGGGCGTTGGAAGAAGAAGGGCATTGCGGGGGGAAGGGCATTGCTGGGAGAAGGGCGTTGCTGGGAGAAGGGCATTGCTGGGAGAAGGGCATTGCAGGGAGAAGGGTATTGCTGGAAGAAGAACATTACTGGAAGAAGAAGGGCATTGTGAGGAGAAGGGCATTGCTGAGAGAAGGGCATTATGGGGAGAAGGGCATTGCGGGGAGAAGGGTATTGCTGGGAGAAGGGCATTGCTGGGAGAAGGGCATCGTGGGGAGAAGGGTATTGCTGGAAGAAGAACACTGCTGGGAGAAGAGGGGCATTGTGAGGAGAAGAGCATTGCTGGGAGAAGGGCATTGTGGGGAGAAGGGCATTGCTGGGAGGAGAAATGCATTGTGGGGAGAAGGGCATTGCTGGGAGAAGGGCATTGCTGGGATAAGGGCATTGTGGGGAGAAGGGCATTGCTGGGAGAAGGGCATTGAGGGGAGAAGGGTATTGCTGGAAGAAGAAGGGCATTGCAGGGAAAAGGCCATTATGGGGAGAAGGGTGTTGCTGGGAGAAGAGCATTGCTGGGAGAAGGGCATTGTGGGGAGAAGGGCATTGCTGGGAGAAGGGCATTGCTGGGAGAAGGGCATTGTGGGGAGAAGGGCATTGCTGGGAGAAGGGCATTGCTGGGAGAAGGACATTGTGGGGAGAATGGTATTGCTGGAAGAAGAAGGGCATTGCAGGGAGAAGGGCATTGTGGGGAGAAGGGCGTTGCTGGGAGAAGGGCATTGCTGGGAGAGGGGACAGCCAGCTAGAGGGCTGGCGAGTGGGAGGGAAGAGGAACTGGGGTAGTAGGTGTGTGTATACTGGCAAAGCTGAGAAGCTTGGACCTTATCCCAAAAGAAGGATGAAAAAAAATGTAGTTGGGCTGGGTATGGTGGCTCACGCCTGTCATCCAAGCACTTTGGGAGGCTGAGGCGGGTGGATCATCTGAGGTCAGGAGTTCAAGACCAGCCTGGCCAACGTGGCAAAACCTCCTCTCTACTAAAAACACAAAAATTAGCCA